TCTCAAGTCCTCGTCATCATTGCTCTTTACGCCGCGCCGTTCCAGGCCAAATTGCGTGTTTGGGTTCTCTCTTTACTCACTAATTAAAGGTGCTGCCTTTTATATCACCGAAAGACGTCAAAATTAGAAATATTACTATACTCACAGGAAATGAGAAATTTTGTCGCGTTTTCTCGTTTGTAATTTTTTTCTGAATCAGATTTTTTTTTATTCCTACATTTAAAAAAAATTCAAAATTTTCCGCCCCCCTAAATTTGCCGCCATGGGCTGGGCCCATGTGGCCATCCCCTAAATCCGGCCCTGGAAGCAAATTCAACCTATGTACTCGAAATTACGACGATGTTTTGTTAGTTTGTTTTGGTTTGAACCAAGATTTGATATTATATCAAATGATGTAGTCACTAAATCAGTCTATATCCCGCGAGAGAGCTTCACTTAATACTATACCGTGTGTTGAAAAGTGCACTAAGCATCAGCTGCTCTACATTTTAGATACGTCTGAAAGTGTCCTCTAATGTGTCTTCCTTTTTCTTTACCCAAAAACTGAGCAACGATAGGCCTGTAGAGAGGCATAAGCCCGAAATTTCGTATTAAATAAAGGATAATCTAAAGTAAGCTCTTGGAAAACTTTTTTCGGAGCTATTTTCAAGAGCATCATCGACGAAGTGGTAGAAGAGATCACCCTCCTATAATGCCTACTTTATCTCGACCTTCTCGAGATTGTGAATATCCGATTGTTTTTCACTCTAAAACAGGGAAAAAACAATCGTTACTATCATCATTCGTGAAGAATGAATTACGTAAGATCGTAAGATCCTTTGATTTTAATGATGGATAAATAGAGGAACGCATCCCATCTCAATCTTGGAGAGAGTATTTTCCTGTTTTTTGGTCCCTTCATTTTTCCCCTGCGAAACACTCGTGACGCAACCCGTGACATTTTACTCCGAAGATTACGGCACGTCGAGTCCTCTTACTTCCCAGAAATCGGAATTGTATAACGCTTTTCCGCCAATACACTTGGATGGACACGTGTCCCTCGCGAAAAGTTAGATCGAACATTCAAGTCCGATTTCTGTACGGACCATTCCATAAAGAAGCATCAGGCGTTACGAAGATTGCACAATTATTCTTTATTTCAGCAGAAATGGTGGCTCCTAAAAACAAAAACTCTGTATGAAAATGAGACTTAAGTTCAGGGACAATTTTCCAATAAACAGTCCAGGAAGTGGAGGCATCTTTTACGGTTAATCACACCATACACATTATTGCACAGTTCGTCGTTCTCCTCACGAAAGAACGTAACAACATTCCAATGTTGCTAAATTTCCTCTCGCATATTGAATTTTTACCAGGAGAATTTTGACTATTTCCAATCGAGATTTTCTCTAATTTTTTTCCGATCTCATGCAAATATCTGAAAAATTTTGGGGGAAAATTGTACAGGTGTATCCTTGCAAAAGAACAAAATTGTTGCGTCAATGTTGCAACCTTGAATTGGAGCTATGTTCCTTCGTCTAGGAAACGACGAAGCTTGGAAACAGCACTGCCGTGCTAAGGAAGAACGCCGTGTAAACATTCGAGAGTTGCCGAATTTTCCTTCGATAAAATGTTCAATCCGTAGGAAAGTTATGAAAATTTTGCTTCGAAAGTTTCAGAAGCTTTAGGTGACATAGCGAACAAAATTATCTGAAAAATTGGAAGAAAAATGTTCATGAATTTTCCAGAAAATTCGTGTTTTATCCAGGGAAATTTGGCAACGCCTGATGGTTCATACGGCGTTTTTCCTTAGCACGGCAGAGCAGGTGCTGCTTACCAGGATCCGAATTTCGGTTCCTCGCTTGATTTCGTCTTTTTTCCAGTGAAAAGAGCTTTTCCGAACTCTCTGAAGCTCGGCACCCCGATTTCAGAGCACTCTAACTGAGGCATAGCGACGCCCGGGGCTATAACTTCGTTTTTTGAGGGTTCAGTAATAGTGCGGTTGGCGTGGCGTGCGAACGACTCGGCAAGAGGTTTCAGGGAAGCGCTTTCGTTGACAAGCGATCCTCCGCCGTGATCCGGTCTTGAGTTTCCAGCCGAGACGATGGATGTTGAACTCAAACAATAAACAGACGGCCATCGTATCGATTTTCGCCGAATCTTGAGCGCTTTTCCTCCGACTCAGCCGCCACCGCTACCCGTTCACTGACGTCAAGGGCAGATCGTAATCAGGGAGGCGATGCGATTGCGAGGAATCCCTTCCTTTTAAGTCCTTGAACGTTTTGAATGAGCGTGGAAAGTGAGAGCGTATCGTCGCCTGCAGCGCTCAGGAGCGTATCCAGGGCTCCGTCCAGTGAGGAAATGAGGAAAACAAAAGGAATGAAATTTGGTTGGGAAACCCCCTGGGAAACACACTTAATTCAGGGAAAAAACTAAACGACTCTTTACGTTTTTCAAAAAAAATTAAAAATGTTCACCGCCTAAATTCTGTTTTTGCCGGGTTCTGCCTTTCCTTTTCCCTTGCGAACCCAGAAAAAAACTAAGGGAAAACACAGGGAATTTTTGGGAACTTTGAAAATACTATAAGCTCTGGTATCTGCATCCGATGGTTTTGAATGTCTGTGACCATTCTGCCCAGTCACTTTTCTGATATTTCTATAAATATATGCAATTTTGGTTTCTATAGATGAGAGCTGCCGTCTCCTCCGGTAATCTGAACTTGTCTCCTATACTGGCGTGCTAAGGAAAAAGTTTTATGAGCCTTCAGGAGTTGCCAAATTCCCTCTGACAAATCACTAATTTTCAGGAAAATTGTTGAATATTTTTCTGCCAATTTCTCAGATAATTTTGTTTATAATTGGACCTAAAGTGTCTGAAAATTTCAAGAAAAAATATTCATAAGTATCCTCTAAAACGAACATTTTATCCGCGGAACTTTGGCAACTCTCGAATGTTCATACGGCGTTCTTCCTTAGCACGCAGTATAGGTGGATCGGAAAATCTTACATTTTTTTACCTTTCATCCTGTATTTTCCGAAACATCAGATAATTCAAATTCCAAATTTATTCGCTATTCTGAATACCGGTTAACTCAAGCATACTTCGTATGACCGGTCGAAAATCTGCACGGAAAATTTAGTCGCGAGGTAAAACTTTCTTTCTTTTTTCAGTGCAATTGGTGCAGAATACGAAGCAGACTCGTGAATGGACCATATTTTGTAATAAAGATTATGGAACCATTATATCTGCCTTCTTTTAGGATCAAGATACGTGCCATCAGTTCACCCGTCCTGGCAGGTTCCTTAATGGAAGAGTCAGAAATAGTAACTCCTTATTGCGAAACGGAGTCCAGGTAGTGCCTCGGTAATTAGTGGCTACTCGTCGCGAAGCTTACAATTAGCAAAAAAGGCGGTTTCTCTGGCATTAGCTTACAAAGTTGAGCTTTTAATCGCTCTCCGAGCCTATCATTATTTTCTCAGCCCGTGCTGTGGCTCAAGCGGCCACCGCCGTACAGTGGATTGAGTCAATCAGAGAGGTCGGACATGAAATTTTTTACTAAAACTGCAAATTTTTATGTTTACTTAGTCTTATTGTAAATTTTAAGGGGTGCCGTTTGAAGAAAATTTCACGAGAAAACCAATGAAACCACTCTCAGAACCTCAGAATTTCGTATAAACGGAGTTTTAAGCGTTCAAAGTTTTCAAATTTTGTCCGACCTCTCCTATTGACTCGATCCACTGTGCGCCGGCGTTTGAATTTCAATCGCCTCGTCCAGCCCCTTCCGGCTGTTTGGACAAAAACTGGAAATACTATGTAGCCGTTGTCTCACGATCAATCTCAATTTCAATATCTTAATCGATGAAGTACGATAATTGTGTAACGACGGCTTTGGAGGAACGCTAGAAATGGAAGACGGCGAGTCACCCTTGGGAAGGCGGAAAATCATATTTTTTATCACAAGCTTATTACAGCTTCCTTGGAGTAGTTTCACGTTATGTTGCGGTAATTGCTTGTTGCATTTTTTTACTGAGAAATTACTTTGTTACAACTACAAGGATCCAGGCCCTTGTCATATTTGAACCATACAAGACTTCTTTGTTATACAGGGTGTCTAGCATCAGGATTTTCCCGACTCTATCAGGATTTGAGGTCAGTCGGGCTTTAATCTCGATTTCATCAGGATTTGAGGAAAAATCGGTCGTAAAATCAGGATTTGAGATAAGTCGGCTGCCTATCGGATTTTTTATGCTTTCGCATACGATTACGCAGAAACTCTAATTTTTTTCCGCAAAAAATCAAGATTTGATCGCAGGATTTGGAAAAATCATGAAATCAGGATTTAGCAGTTATAAATCAGGAAAAATCAGGATTTCCCAAAATTGAAAAAAAAACTAGATACCCTCATATAGGAACAAAAGTCTTAACAAGACACTGTCTCTATTAAAAATAAAGTCCGGTGTAAATAACATGGATCAGGACATGTATTTTTTTAGTTATTTACATCTCGTAAAACTTATATACTCGTGTCATCTGAAGCCTTTAATTTCCGATTGATCGATAGTAAATACTCGAAAAAACAGTTAATCGAAATTTTTTCAATCGATTAATCAATCAAATCGAAACACGTTCGATAATCGATTGATCAATTAATCGCCGATGGAACAGCTCCACTTGGAACACTTGCACTGGTAAAAAAACCTCTTGGACCAATGCCGCGGTGTATTGACTTAAGAGTGCAGTTTCTTGTCGCCGGATTCAAGAGTCTTGAACTCTTTTTTCAAGCGGATTTTGCATTTATTCAAGCGGATTTTGCATTGAAACAAGAGTCTAGACTTTTAAATCCGGCGACAAGAAACTGCACTCTTGAACCAAGAGGTTTTTTTTACCAAGTGTGGAACTTGATGTTCCTAATTTTGACGGACCTAATTTACTAAGTTTGGATATTTTAAGGGGATAGTCTTTGACACCATGCAACGTTATACCTTCGGGGATTAAAATGAATGTTTTTGTTTTTGTTTCAGTGATGGACGAAGGTCAGGGCGAAGGCGAAGGAGCGGAGGGGAGCTTGGGCTCGCGGTCCTCCTGCTCGGGGGCGACGACGGGGGCGGCGACCCCCTCGCCGTACTTCCTGGACTCGGGCCTCCCCTCGGACTGCGACCTGACCTACGAGCACCACTCGAGCGAGGAGGAGCTGGAGGTGATCAACAGCCAGAAAGAGGAGCCGTGCCCGGGGGAGCTGGCCGCCCTCGCCGCCCGGGCCCGCGCCCTCTCCTGCGCCTCCCCCTCCCGCTCGCGGAGCACCTCGGCCCTCCCGGAGAAGCGCAAGTGGTCCCAGGTGAGCCGCCCCCAGCCCGAGGCCCCGGAGCCCCACAGCCACACCCCACACAACCCGCACCCGCGGCGGCCCCTCAGCCGGCTTCACCAAGCCCCCAGCGTCTTTCTACACAGGGAACACAGCAGTAGCAGCTCCGATGACGAGGTAAGAATCCTATCATCGCTCCCAAGAGGGTTCGCACAGAGTTGCCAGCGACCGGGAAAACCGGGAAAAGTCCAGGAAAAAAATCAACCGGGAAAAGTCAGGGAATTTCGGTGTTGGTCAGGGATTTTTCTGATTTCTCGTGGAATTAGGCGCGGGCGGTCTCGGGTTCGCGTTGCGGGATCAACTGGATCAATTTCACTTTAACAGACTGCGTCAGATCCATACTTAAAAGTCAGGGAAAAATATTGGAAAGTCAGGGAAAAATATTGGAAAGTCAGGGAATGGAAAAAAATAATTTGGCTGGCAACCCTGTTCGCAGATCTGGAAAATTTAAGAAGAAACATTCAGAGAATGAGGTGGGTCACACCGGAAAGAAAACACATTGGATCTAGAGTCCAGACTCTTGAAAACATTGACAAGAAAAAATACCCTTGATTCAATCGGATTTTTGCTCGAATCAAAAGGAAATCCGCTTAAATTAAGAGGCTTGGTTCTTGATTTAAGCTAGATTCTGATTGAATCAAGAGTACCTTTTCTTTTCGATGTTTTTAAGAGTCCGGACTCCAGATCCAATGGGTGTGTGTTTTTCCAGTGCAGAAAACGTCGCCCCTCTGACCTAGGGGTTATCTCAATCTCTACGTGAGCCCTGTTTTACGTATGAATTCACGCTTTCTAAGGCTCATGCAGAATTTGAGGTACGCCCTTACGTCATAGGAGCGACCAAAAGTGTGCGACGCTATACCAGGGTGTCTACAAGTCCGGAATTTCCGGAAAGTCCAGAAAAAGTACTGATTTTTTATGGGCGGCCCGGACGTACAGAGAAAGTGCGGAAATTCCGCAAGAAGGTCCGGAATTTTTTGTAATTTTTGTCGTAATTTGAGCGAGAAATTCAAATTTTGGAAATTTTTCGAATCGCGTCAATCGGAGGCACTGAAAAAATACTGAATTTTTCTATTGAAGAGGTACTGAATTTCTTAGGAATGCACTGAAAAAGTACTGTAAAAGTACTACTTTTTGGCTAGCCTGTTTTAGTAGACACCCTGGTAGGCTACGGAAAATAATGAGTTATGGTAGGACTCTTTTTTGGGCCTCGACCACGCTCAACCCAAACACGCATGCAGAATTAACTCTTCTAACCCGTGGTAAAAATATCTCGTTTTATATTTTCCACGTCGAGGAACTTTTTGCCTGAAGCCCTGGATAGACGGTCAAATCCCGAACCAATTCCGATCAAAGTAGACATGCTGATGACTGATGGTCACCATCTACCATCATTTGACGGGCCGCACTGTTTTGTTCAAAGTAAGATCAGAATGGAGGCCACCATTCATCATTTCCTGCCTCTGGAAACATTTCTGCCAAGTTTTCCTATTAAAATTAAGCAAATTAATGAGTTCAAGACTGATGACTCCCGACACTTTTTGATGGCAATTGGTTCAGGAATTTGATCGTCCATCGAGACCTTGACGTTGGGCCATCACTCGTGTCACGTCTTTTGCGATTGTCTCTGATTTGATCGTTTATATTTACAGGCACTGACGGCGTGTACGACGCCGGTGAAATTCAGGACGTCGCCGCCGGTGGACGTGCACAAACCCGGACAGAGATCTCTTTCGCCGCCGGTGAAGCTGTTCCACTACGGATCGGCGTCGGTGACCGGGGCGTGCGCCCGGCCCGGGTGCGGCGCCGGGCCCGAGCGGGCGGCCGCGGGGGCGGGGAGCCCCTCCGGCCCCGAGGGGGCCACCTCCCCCGTCCCGACCGTCCCCAACGCCTCGCCCCGCAAGAGGCATAAACACAAGTTCCCACAGAAATCCTCCAACCCCAACTACACCCATCGACCGTGCCTAGACTTCGAAAAAATGCAGCAGGTAAGCACCCTCACTCAGTTTGTCTTCCTATGCCCAAATGAAGGGTCCTTGTGTTGCACGACAAAGCAGGGTGTCTAGCATCAGGATTCTCCCGATTTTATCAGGATTTGAGGGGAAATCGGTCGTAAAATCAGAATTTGAGAAAATTCTGCCGCCCGATCGGATTTTTTTTTTTATCGAGCCATTTTTTTATGTTTAGAAATTTTAATTTTTCTCCGCAAAAATTCAGGATTTCGAAAAATTATGAAATCAGGATTTAGCAGTCAAAAATAAAAAAAAAATCAAGATTTCATCAGGATTTCCCAAAATGATAAAAAAAATAGACACCCCGAAATTTTGCAGCCTTCGGAAAGTAAATTTCGCGAGAAGCTCTCTATTCGGCAACTTCAGACAGCTTCTGAGTGCCATTTTGCACGATGAACCACGAAACAAAGTACGAATTTCAGTATGGTGATCTATGAATGGAAACCCTTGCACAATCAGAATCTAGCATCAGGATTTTCCCGATTTTATCATGATTTGAGGGAAAATCGGTCGTAAAATCAGAATTTGAGAAAATTCTGCCGCCCGATCGGATTTTTTTTTTATCGAGCCATTTTTTTATGTTTAGAAATTTTAATTTTTCTCCGCAAAAATTCAGGATTTCGAAAAATTATGAAATCAGGATTTAGCAGTCAAAAATCAAGAAAAATCAAGATTTCATCAGGATTTCCCAAAATGATAAAAAAAATAGACACCCTGAAATTTTGCAGCCTTCGGAAAGTAAATTTCGCGAGAAGCTCTCTATTCGGCAACTTCAGACAGCTTCTGAGTGCCATTTTGCACGATGAACCACGAAACAAAGTACGAATTTCAGTATGGTGATCTATGAATGGAAACCCTTGCACAATCAGAATCACCTTAACTACATCAAAAGTTGCCTGATTTCCTCTTTTGTTTTAATTGTAAAACCAGGCAACATTCCGACTCGAAATTTTATGATTAACTTCTCTACAGTCCGAAGTAAATCCACGGGAATCTTTCAGACATTATGCCGCTTAGTTCCGTCGTAAAAACCAAAACACGAGCGAGAATTAGGCATCGTGAAGTGCAGTTAGGTTGATTCCGGTTAAATCCGTCCGTTTTATCGCCGGCGCTGAAACCTGGATTAACACCGAACGTGAGCCAACGTTTTTAACGACTCGGCTGAAAAGGGAGTCTGAAGCGCTTCACCTGACGACGACGACGATGATGACTGCGATTCGAGGAGCCGGGATTTTTTGTCAGGATCCGAGGGAACGAGACGAGACGCGCGGCGGTGTCGCATCATACCGCTATGAAAATATTACTGCGCAGGGGTTAAAAAATAAACGACGTAAATGATCGGGGTTTCCAGAGTGTCTCGACGTGCCGTACCCCCCCCCCCCCCCCCCCCCCCCCCCCCCCNGGGGGGGGGGCTTCGGCCTGGCCTGGTAACAGCCGCTCGCGCCCCCAAGTGACGAACGCCCTTTTTATTGCCGCCCGCTGAAACCGGGGCCCGGCGCTGCCAGATCTCTCCTCGAAACTGGCGCGTCGTCCTTCGCGATGAATCGATTGATCGAAACTTAAGGTTAAAAAAGGTTAAGCTTTACTAAACTTTACCACAAAAAAAGGTTAAAACTTAAGGTTAAACTCTTAAGGAGGAGCGGTTAACCGTCGCTTCTCACAGGATGTCGAAAGTCGATTATTTTCAGCCGATGATAGATGCTATTAGTGGCACGTCACAAAAAAGCGATATATATCGATTTTTTCGCATTGGTAGCATTGAAAGAGGTTACGCCAATGTTATTGTTTGGATCCAATTCGATATAATGGAGAATCCCTATGATGATGTCGCCACTATAATAGACTCTATAGGAAAGGTGTAAGTAATTGAAGCGCAGTGTCATGATCTACATCGGTGGGATATTTTGGTATAAAACAGCAGCTGTAGTGGTGACGACTGCCAAGAAAAGGTTGTTTTGAGGAACTTGTGAAGAAGAAAATTACTCGTAAAAAAATTGATACGATGCAGAACCAGTAAGTTTTCACTTTTATGTCTAGAAAAATCGGGAATTTCCTAGAATTATGTAGCGATTTTTTACGTAAATAGCCACAATTACAACCGAACAAGCTCAAATTCTCAAATTTTACGGGAGAGAAAAAACGTTCACTCAATGAACAGAGGGTGAGATGAACGTCGGCGATAAGGTGATTTTAATGATCTTATGAGTTTGTGGAGTGAGCTTTGACCAATGTTGACAATCTGCTTCATTTTCATTACTTTTTCGGTGGAAATTAAATTTTGCCTTTCAGAGTTTTCCACGATATACCTGAAATAACTGTCCTTGTACATTCAATGTTTCCAAGAGTGTTTGGTGTGAGGAATGGTCAATTTTGACGATCCTGCATAGGGTGCATTGAATTTATAGGCAAATATAATTTTAGACGCTAACGAAAAAGGTTCAAAAAAGTAAAATAAAATGCAAAAATATCAACGAATAAGGTTACTCAATGCTCGTGAAAAAGTTTGTAATAAGTTATGACAATCTTGCTGTGTTCAAATTGTCTAGATTCTTGCGTGACAAAGTGATCTTTGTTTCGAAATATGCTCAAAAATCCAATTTTTGAAGTTTTTGCGTAAATTCGACACAAACCATGGAAGTCCAACTAAAAGAGAGTTTTCCGCAAAAACTCTTCTCTAAAATTTTTGGACCGGGCATTAATAGGCTTTAATATCCAGAGATTCACTCGGAAAACAGGGTTTTTTTTATTTTTTTATTTTTTTTATTTTTATCTCCCTCGAACTCCACGTAGGCACCGCGGTCCGTAACTGTCGCATTAATGTCGCCCGTCGCTGCAAGCCCGTTTCATTAAGGGAACCCGATGTTCCCCTGGTTCCTCTCCCGTTACCGCTCGTAAGCAGTGGCGTGGCGTGAATTGCGATATATCGATTGTTATGCCATTCAAACCTATGGTAAAGAATCGATTATTAAGGTGTTCGCTGCGAACACCATGTTTATCGATCCTTTTCTATAGGTTTAAATGACATAACACTCGATATATCGCAAAGCACGCCACGCCACTGTTACCGCTCATAAGCATTACGAAGATGAAGGAGACCGGGGGGAGGGGGGGGGGGTTGTATTGCTGGCACAGTGTCATGCAACGCAATGCGCTCTTAGAATCAATACCTGTCGCTAAGTAATCTCCCCCCCCCCCCCCCCCCCCCCC